GACTGATTTCTGGCGGAATCTTGGAAAGCCTAAAATCATTGAAGGAAAGATCGAGGCTCTGCAGGTTTTTGAGGAGAAAAAGAGTGCTGTTGGAACGAAAGGTGCCAGAAAGGAGACTGCAGCTGAGATAAGAGCCATTATCACAGCTAACCCCATCCCAGGAACAGCAACCTATACCTTCCTTCCAAGACTCAGTCTTAGAATAAGGTTTGGTATGGTAAGTATTACATCAGAAGCAGTGTTATTGATGGATAAGGAAGTCTTGAATTGCAGCAAAGCAAAAGCCTCCTCATGAGAGCAGAGCTGTGTTGTTGAAAAGGAAGAAGCATGTGAAGAGGATGAGAAGGCAGTTTTAAGACAGATGAAGAAGAAAAGGAGACACGGTGGTGTAGAGAGCATTGTGAAGAACCCCATATATCTTTGTTCGGTAGAATGGGGTACTCTGGAAGAGTATATATAGTGTTCCAAATCGAGAAATACTAATAATTGAATATATTCCATCAAAACAAAAATAAATGAGAATGTAATATTGATCCATGGTGGATGCCATTTTCAAATCTACTTTTTGACTTCTCTTTTATTTACTTCTTTGAAATTAGATGGAGAAATTACAATCACATTATTAACATGATTTCAACTAATAATTTGAATCTCAATAATATGTTTTTGTCTTTGTCACAACATGATGTGAAAAAGGTATTTTTTTCACTTAAAAATTAGAATTAATAATTAAAAAAGTTTGTTTATTTACATTTCTTAATATAAATACATAAATATAACAAATATTAGTACATAAATATTAATATTAAAAAATTATTTAATATAATTTACCATCACTTGCTCTAAATGAGGTGGGTAGAGCACTCGTATTATAATCATTTTATGCTATTCTCATTCTAGATTTTATGTACTTTTTTTTTTTTTTACATTTTTATCTCTTAGAATGAATTTGATTATTTAATATAATTTCATCACTTGCTCTAAATGAGGTGTGGAGAGCACTCGTATCGTAATCATTTTATGCTATTCTCATTCTAGATTTTATGTACTTTTTTTTTTTTTTACATTTTTATCTCTTAGAATGAATTTGAATAATTAGTAAAAAAGGATATAAGATGTATTCTATGTACCAAAGAAGGAAAATGTTATAAATAAAGTCTTCGATAAATTAGATTTAGATATATGTTATCATTGTTATTTTAATTTGAGCCTAATTATGAATCATGAATAAAAAACTAACCAGTTTTCTACCAAATTTATAATCAATTAAGTGAAAACATATGTTCATCATCATTAAAATCCATAGTTTTACTTAGAGAAGAAGGTTTATGACCTACTAAAAAAAAAAAGTTAAATCCCCATTTTGATTCCTCTAGTTTAAGAAAAAAATCTTTTTCTAGTCTTTTTATTTAAAAAAACTCTTTTTTGATCTCTAAAGTTTGAAATTTGTCCTCTTTTTAGTCCATTCATTATGTTTTACTTATATGGCACATGATGGAAATTTCAAAGTAGATGGACCAAAAAAGACTAAAAATAGCCCCAATTTCAAAGTGTGGAACTAGAATACACCCTTTCTGAACTTTGCAAGGAAGCCATACAGACCAAGCAGGCGAGTGCTGACAATATCCAACATTGTAACATTCCTTTTCAAAACAATGCTAGTAAGCACTGACTGCCACGAGGAAAAGAACCATTAATATAGAGTGGATTCCTTTACATCGCATTATGCAAACAATCAGCTATTACAAACCTTACTCATATCTCTATCTCTTGTGATAAGAGTTCTCGGTGCAGTAGGGTTGTAAGAATTCTTAACCTTGACGGGAATATCACCCTACATAACTGGTCTCATGGATAGTGGATGCAGGACCTGTAGAAGAGCAATATCAAAATCAACTTCAGTTATTTTGCCAGGTTTAAACAATTACGTAACAGTAGGCCAAATGCACCCTAGTCAAGTTTGGGCCAAAACAGAAAAGGTTTCTTTCAGGAAGACAAATAGAAGGTAGGAAGAGGAACGTGGGAGGGAGATGCCCAGAATCCAAAAAATACAAGCCAAAGGGAATACTAGGTGGTTTTGTAAATGAATGAAAAACCAATAAAAAAAATATTATTGATAATTTGATACCTTAGCACCACAGTAAGCAAGTTCAGCTCCTTCTTTAAACGTCAAATAGGGGACAGGTTCTGCACGAGGGTTTATATTAGGATCACAGGTCAAGACACCGTCAACATCCTTCCATACCTATAAGAAAACCATAATTTTGGTGAAAAAAGTTAGTCATCCTACAATCAAATTTGTCAACTCAATAGGACATTCATTGTTCCACAAACTTCAAAAAAGATTAACTTGTAAATATTTATATGCCTATTGTGCATCTGAATAAAGAGATACACATTTAATCATGAAAAAAGGGTATTAGAGAAGAAATAAAAATTCCTATATATACATGCTGAACTGCATCAAATGTTCACAATTAATACGAAAAAGCTCATCACTTGAATCTCTTGCAAGCCCAACGCTTTCCCAATGGTTGTCGCTGTCAAATCACTGCCACCCCTACCTAATGTAGTAATTGCAGAAGATCTCCAGCTCTACAATCAGAAGTTCACTGTCTATAAGACATTGCTGCATGGCCCTAACAAAATCTTGTTCAAATTTAAATCATTGGAAAAAGCTAACTGCAGCTGTTCAGTAGAAGGACCTTTACCAGGAAACCAGTGACAATCGGAATTGCAAGATCACTGAACCAATCATCATTTAACCTTTTTGCCACAGCTGGATTGGTTGCTTCTAGAGTATCAGCATTTGTGAAGTCGTCTGTGGTAATAAAACCAATACTGAAGGCATCATACTGCAAAAGAATGAACAAAATTATAATCTGAAACCACTAAGATGGTAGTCACAAGGAAACACAAAGAAGGCAATACCATAATTGAATCTTCTGTAAGAAATCTAAGAATTCAAATGACTTACATTTGGATCAAAGAAACTGTTTTAGGAACAGGGTAGAGCACAGCTATCCGTGTTAAAATATTTTCTTGAAAAACTAAACTCCTAATGTTCACCAGCATGGCAAGAAAAGGCATTTATATTTAGTTATAGGATATAGAAGACAAACAACATGGTGGCCTTTAACGCCAATTTTATTCAAATATGCAGCAAAAATCCTTGTTGACATGCACTTCCCAAAAGAAACTAAGTAGTCTTGCGTTCGTAGGGTTAACTCTTTCATCATAGCAATTCCCTTTAGAAGCTGTTCCAATCTTTCCAGGTGTTCTGAAAAATGTTTTGCAAGCAACACCATATATCTATCAGCGAAACTAGAATGTTATGAACTATTAGAATATGGATGGGAGGAGAAAACGATATACGGATGTTCAAACTGGGATTGTTTTGAAAATTGAGGATATCTCAAAGTTTGCAGACACTCTGAAATTCCAGCACTCAATGTCGATGGGCTTAACTGATAAAATGTTTCAGGAACTTGACTAATTTAGCACTGCAACATCCTAAAACACATAAAGCACTTGAACTCACAAGCTAAGCAATCCCAATTAGATCCTTATAACCAATTGAGGTTCAGATAGAACTTCTCCCAGGTCCAACATGGATGAAAGAACAATAGTAGAAGGACTTGCTTGACTAATCAAGATCAAGGACTTGATTTAGCCACTAGCTAGAAAGAGTTGGTTTATAACCAAGGGAACAATTTTAATTCTTAAGACCTGTTCAGCTTATTTAAGCAAGCAAAAAGCTTTCCAAAGTAGCAACATGAAATAAAAACAAAAGAGTCAAAGAGCAAACAAAACTCACCTTCAATTATTGACCTCTCAACTCCAAGCTCGTCTACAGTCCTGAACATTAATTAATTTGATGATGATGAAGAGAGAGAGAGAGAGAGAGAGAGAGAGAGAGAAAAGAGAACAAATTCGTACTACCAGTTGTTACAGCCTTGTATAGAATTGAACATACCAAAGATGGAGGTCCTTTATGAAACTCAACTCATCCATGGTTTCCACATTTGTGATTCCACAGCTAACAGCCTACTCTCCCGCCAGGATAGTCAACAGCTAATGAAATTCTTTGACAAAGAGAAAGAAGTGAGAAGGATTACATTTATGTTTATTTACATTAACAGGGTGAATTAGAAGAAAGGCATTACCAACAAAAGCTTATTCATTGTGTTTCCCATAGCAGAGAGAACAATTACTGGCCTGTCATTGGGGAAGCTGAGGATAACCGCTGCAACCTCTCTGATCCTCTCAGCAGAGGCCACGGATGAGCCTCCAAACTTCATAACACACATCAATTGGTTGTTGGTTTCACCTAAACTTGGATTTTCAGTCTCATTACTTTGTTGAATCGTATCAACAATAGTTCCCTGGCGACTGAGCCTCAAAATTTTACTTACAGGGGAACGCAAATGAGAAGAGGCATTAAGATGCTGTACAGTGAATAGACGTTGGGAATGGGAAGTGAATGCGAAGAAGAAGAAGATAGATGGCAGGGAGGTCTATGTGTAACACCATAAAACTGCAATGAAGCTGCCATGCTAAAGAATCTGAGAGTAGAAGTAATTTATTTCAACAAAAGAAATGTTAAGAGTAAAAATGAATCGCCGGGAACCAAAGTTGAAGAAATTCCATTTGAGAGGGAGTGAGTGGGTAAGTACCTGAAATGTATAGACTACAGAGAAGAAGAAAAAAATGCACAAAGGAATTGATCCTTCAGTAAGCTCTCATGGTGTAAGAAAGAGAGGAGGAAAGGAATTGATCCTCCAATAAAGGTTTCATGGATTTTAGAGGACTTCAAATTGTGTTTTCCTTTTCTTTCCTCCTATGGGCGGTTCAGATCAGAGCTAATATTCCAGTCCATCAGATGGGGAAGATGGGGACTGATTAACCAAACAAATCCACTGGTTCTGCCAGTAAACATACATACTAGGAGTCTGTTTGGGAAAACTTCAACAGACATTTGCTTAAAAATAAATATATACAAGACAACAGTAATACTGCCACATGAATTTCACAATCAAAATTTGAAATAGCAGATCAGATTAATCTTTGCTAAACTTAACCCAATACTTAAGTCAGCAAATGCCATTGCACAACAACCACAAACTTCATATATTTATCTAAACCAAAAAAGTTACTGAAACATTAACAATGAATAACTGTGAATGTTCTTCAACTTCATATATTTATCTTTTTCAACTTTTTCAATATTTCCATACTAAAATTCAGATTTCAATTGCTATTCACTAATTATAAAAAACATCAATCTTCAAACCAAGAAAGCAAACCTTCAATGGCCACAGTGTAGTTATAGAAGTCTCTGCCATTGAGAAGAATTCAGATAGACCTAAAAGTATGGTCAGAATCATACCTTGCTCTTTGAAAATCTTAAGAACCATGGAAACCTTAGGCCACGCATTTCTCAACAACAATGCCATGCTCAATCACTCCGTACCCTACATTCACCACTCCCTCCACCACAAACACTCTCTTGTACGCGAAAACCAAAAGACAACGAAGCATTGCTCCAGTAAAGACTCCCCGCTTTAGCAAAATCTTCAGAGACTCCAAATCCAGGCCGACGACCTCACCGTGGTCACCACCCAGATCATTGTTTTCTTCACTTAACGATCTCAGATAAGCTCCCTTGCCAACAATGCCAGGTCCCCGCAATCACAAACTGTAAATTCCACCAAAAATGGACGGATTGAAACAACTGGAGACTAAACGACATGGGAAGTG